ATTCCTCAGGCCATGCATCATCACCTTTCAACAAGGTACAGCTGAAAGGTCTGCAAGTATCACATCTAGGGAGAGGTTCAAGCCACAAAAATCTGATCTAAATTGAAGTTAATTTTTGATTTGCTTCAAAACACAACACTGTCAAGATCTTGGTTATCTGTCATGCTCTTCTCTGGTGCTATGCTTTTGAATAATAGAAATCCAAGTGTAAAGACATATTTATGTGATGACTTTAACTAAATTAGCAGTTTCAACAATCTCAAAAAAATCTGAATTTAGGCATGATTTTGGATGGCCTTTTTAATCTGAAAGGTTTTGATCAAACTCAGCAGAGGGAAAATTTGGCAACAACAAGTAGAGTGTAGGTATGAAGAAAATGAGCAGCTCACGCCTGGGCAGCCAAGGCTACAATTCATGTGTTGTGTGTTGACTGCTGCATGAAAATGCATGAACAATGACATTCTGTAGAGAGCTTTAGTATCTACCCTGTGTGTGCTGGATCTTGGAAGCTGGCCGTGTATTGCTGGTGTAGAAGGTACAAAAGGAAAGTGCTCAGGTTGGAGGGATTAATGTTCTGTAATTAGAAATGGTCTGTTACAATTAGATGCCACATGGCAAGCCTACAAAACTTGGCATGTGAAGAGCATATTGGCAATGATTTAGAATTAACCACTGCATTGCAAATCACTCCTTAGCTGTTTTCTATTATGAAATTTGGAGAGTTGTAAAATGCATTTGTGCTATTTTATTTCTGTTTGAAATGGTAATTGCTACTGCTGAGGGGCAGTACTTAGTGCAGAAAATGAAATGTGCAGCATAGGGAGGAACTTGTTTCTGAGGAACTGCTGAGGAATTGTAATGATCTGAAAAAAAAGTGCTTTCTTGAAACACATACACACAAAAGAACTTCATTTATGAAATCTCAACCAGATAAATAACAAAATAAAATACAGCACAGTCCTCCCCCCCTTTTTTTTTCCTTTTTGGTGCAAGGGACAATGCTTACTACTTTGTTGCTGACTGCACTTTTTCCCCATCAAAGTGAGAACAGTGGATTGACAATAGGTAAAACTGATAAGCCAATGGCTTGAGGGATATGCAGATGTATGGAAATGTGATAAGAATGCCCTAAGGTAATGGATTTTAAGCCAATGCATTTGAAAATTATTGAGTGTGCTTCTAAACACGAGCCTATTTTAGATACCTATAGTATAGAGCTGACAGTGGTATGGCCCTGGGGAGCTGGATGAAGTTTCACTTTTGTGTCTGTGGAACAGAGGCTGTGCAGCCTAAGTGGAGAAAGCAGGTATGTTCTAATTAAGTGGTGATAAATTCCCCCCTTACAGCTTCCCCCTTGATTGTGATTGTAAAAAGGACTGTGTTTATGAGTAGCTTTTATGGAAGGATATATTTAGGAAACCAAGGATTGAGGCTTCTGAGGTCTTAAATTTGCTAACTTGAGACAATAATCATGATCTTTCAGGTAATAAAGCAGGCTAGCTAGTTAATATCTTTGAAAGCCAGATGATTGACTGTAATTTTTCTCATAGTGCTTTGCTGGTAGCAGTAAATGAAAACATATACAGCACTTTTCATGAGAAGTGCCAGAGTGCTTTCCACACCTTAATCAACTAATTTTTATGAGATGGTGGCATGGCTATTTCCCTTTCTCTACTGGCAGAACTGAAAGGATCAGGGCAGCAGTCAGAAAGTACGCAGCATTTAGTGCAATAGCAAAGACTCATAATGTCTGCATCTAGAAGTGTGGCTTACTGGATTTATTTTACAGTTAATACAGAGTGATAATTGTCCTTTCATAAATACAATTGATCTGGCATTGTGTCTTAGAATGACAACAGAGTTGATGCTGCCAAGATGATCCATCTTCACACTTAGGAAAAGAAGCAGTTGTACTGGATCGGCTTGGCTCACAGCTGAGCTACAATGCAGAAAGGCAGTATACAGCAGCTGAAGCCAGGAATGGCTCAGAACAAGCGATTTAGAAGCACTGTCCAGGTATGTAGGGGTGATGTTAAAATAGCCAGTCTTCAGCTAGAGTTGAGACTTGCAAGGGATGTCAAGTTGCTAGTTAGAGGATGAACAAGGAAAATGTGGTCTGCTGTGGGATTCAGCTGGTGATTTAGTTGTAACAGATGCAGACCAGGCTGAGGTATGCAGTCCTGCCTTTGCCTCAGTCTTTATGAATGAGGTCTCGCAGGCTCTGTGCTTTGCAGCAGAGCACAGGGAGGAGAAGAGTGAACAGCATTGAGTGTAAGTTGAAAACAAAAAAAGAGATTTAGACAAGAACTAAGGGAAAACTTTCTCCCCATGAAGATGGTCAAGGAGTGGTGCTGGCTGCACAGGAAGGTTGGGCAGTTTCCATCCTTGAGGGTTTTCAAAGCACCATTGGACAAAGCCCTGAGAAACCTGGTTTGAGCAGGCGGGTAAACTAGAGACTCTAAAATCCCTTCCAGCCTGGGTTATTCTGATTTTTAAGATTTGTAGGTCTGACAATTCTAGATATTTCAAATCTTCTGCTTAGCTCACCCAGCTTTGTTCATCTAAATAAAAGAGGCTCTTCAATGAATGATTTTCACCCATGAAAATAATTTAAATATATTGTGGTTTTGAATGTAAATACTTTTGAATGGCAAATTGCATACAACTCATGTACTGGAATAGTAGTGGTATTTCTACAATACCTCAACTACCAGTGGTCTTTCCATGTGCATGCGTGCCACACACAGCCCAGCAAGAGCAGGCACCATCCATGCTGCTCTGTCCACTCCTTCTGTAAGCAATATGGCTTTTAATCTAGGATGACAGTGACCAGAGCTGAACAAAATCAGGACAATACAGTGGCATTACATGTAGATTTCAGACTTGTTCTAGTTTCAGAAACAGCAGCTAGAGACTGCATATTTACTTCAGGTCTGGTGTCAACCTCTTTCTCAAGGAGAATCTGTGGTGCTTGCATGGGAGTATGTTCTCCCACCATTAGCAAGCATGAAATGAGGAGGAGTCCATCCATAAGGAAAAGGACAGAATGTAGTATTCTTGTTGGCTGTTCTTGTAATTTGGCTCCATGCTATTCAAGAAGCCTAAATGTGAAGAGGAGTGTACAGAAGATGATGGGACACTAGGGGTGATGGCGGTGACTTCAAAATTACACACTTTGGCATAGGAAAGGGAAATTGGGTTGAAAGAAGGATGTATTAAACCTATTTGACAAATCTGGGTCAAAAATGGATGCAATCAGTCCAATTTAGCCAGGTTTTAATTTAGTTGGAGACTATGAATGTGCCTGGGAATATACAATTTCCAAAACTAGATGATGATTTGCAAACACTACATTTAATAAGCATCCTGCTAGCTGTTGTTCAACAGTGATGAAATGCTCTGCTTTGCCTTGAGATCATGTACAGCTGAGGTTTGGGTTTTTTTTCAAGAGAAGATAAAAGTGGCTAATGAGCTAATAATTATTACTGTGGAAAAATGGGAACAATGGCTAGAATTTAAGGGTATTTATATGTCTCTAATGACTTCAGTGGGACTTAGATGTCCCCTTTAAAAACTACCTAATCACCTAACAAATGAGACGCTAATTTAGCAGGTCTCTAAGGAACAGAAAACTGTCAATATACTTTATAAGCAAAGGAATAAACAAAAGCACCCTGTGTGGTAAATAAAATTACTGGTACAATTGTCCATGTTTTGCAGATCATGAAATGGAAAGGGGATCTGTCATTTTCTCAATAGCGCCTGTATAAATCAAGAGGAATGTCACTAATTTTTGCTCATCATTAGGGAGTACAACTTTATCTCAGACAGGTTAGTGACTTTCCACAAAGGTGCAGGAATCAGTTCCATAGCTAGAATCTGAGTTTGCCCACTTCTTTTCTTAGACAAGTTGACCATTTCTCCCTTCTACTGTACACCTTTTAATCATAAATGCAAACAGTTATTTCTCCTCCTGATTCTTATAAACACTTGTTCTTAGTGTTACAAAATTACTACAGTTTTAAAATTATAACTAAAGCTGAAAACATATTTTACAATATGCAGACACAAATGATGTATCTTAGAAAAAGGAGCTCTTTCCCGTGTGTGTATGAAGTGAAGAGGTTCAGTTTACGGCTACTTAAATACCAGTGGGGCATCGTTTATTTTCACTTTGAATCAGGAACAAAATGTACAGGCACACTTTGCTTCTCTTTGATAATGGGATTTTTTTTCCTGTTAAAATGAGAATAAGAATTTTAGGAATATGGTTCTTATTTTACTGTCAAGTTTTTTGTCCTTTGGAAATTATGAGGGAGACAAAACCTTCTATTTCCTTTGGGTTTTCTCACAGTTTTCCTAATATATGCCACACTATTGCTCTTGCATACTGGGACATCTATGCATCTGACACCTGAAGAAAATTAACCCTTGGAAAGCTATGCAGAAACTGGAGGGTGCATGTCCTGAGAAAGCTTCTGAGACAATAACTGCATTTATAGCCTATGGATTGAATGATTTTCCTGGGATTAGAGGTCTCAGCTTCCGAGTTTGTCACACATGCTTAGTTCTCTAAAAGTAGGATATTTCTGAGGTAGCAGCAGGTTCACTAGGTTTCTCACCCAGCTAGTAATTCTTTTGAGTAAACCACAATTCTGAAGGGAAAATAGGCTATAATTGCTTAGACCTAAAGCATCAGGTTTGGGAGTGTTGTTGTTGCTGTCAGAAACCATTTTAGCCCCAAAGAAATACAACTTCTTGAGAAACACTTCTCATCTGCTATTTTTCAATCACTGAAGTATACAAGTATATTTGAAAAGCAAAGTGCTTATGATTATATCTGCTTTTATAAGTTTAACTGTAATCAGCAGACTAGGAACAGAGTGCACAAGTCATTTTATCTACATTATTTGTGGAGAATCTCTGAGAACACAGAAGTGCTTCTGACCTAGTTAAACTCCTGCTGTTTTGAAAATGATTATTAAAAAAGCCATCAATACTTCTCTGAGCCCATACACTTACTTGTTGCCCGGTAACCAGAAGGATGGAGCCTTCTTTCCCATGTACCACTTGCCGGTAAATGTGATCTAGAATTAAGAGTTCACTCCAGCAGTTCTGAAGCAACTTCATTTGGTCATCAACCTGTAAAAGCAAACATGAATGTTGGTGGCATCACTCTGGGAGTAAGTCTTCCATCACACTGTGGAGTCAGTCGTTCTTCAAGCATTTCGTTAACGTCATGAGAACAGAAATGTTGTCAAAAATAATTCATTCACAAAATTGCTATTCTCATATGAATAAATACGGCACTGCTGAAGCCCTTACCCATAAAATGTATAGAATATTTACAACTGACTACATTATAGGAAAGAAGAACTATGGTATTGTTATGCAAAGTAATAATAGTGTATTTATTAAATGCTCATGGAAATGGGATATTATTTTTACCCAAAACAAGAATAGCAGAAATAATGCTAATATGAACTTTCCCATACTTCCCCCATTCTTGAACCTCAGCTTCTGGAAATAGTATGAAATCTGTAGATTCAAGAGCTGCAAAAAGCCCAATTCAGAGATAGGTCCCTTGCTAAGGAAAAAGTGGAGAGAGGTAAACTCTCCCTCTAAGAATGGTTGTGGTGCTATGAAAAAAGAAGAAAACTTCCTCATATACAGCTGAGCTCAGATGTCGATGGTAGGGCAAGAAAGGGCTGTGCACAAGGCAGTAGGGAGCAGAGAGACTTACCACTGACTCTGGTAACAGAAGGAACACACTGAGCACTCAGCACAAGCAACCTACACCAAGTTTTTGTGCAATGATATTTGGGTTGTACATATTATAGGACAAGAAAGTATATAACTAAACTGAGTCCTATTGTAAATGGATTGCATTTGGTGTTATTCACTTTAAAGACTGAAAAAATAATTAAGATTTCAATGGAAATGTGAGGAAAGAAATCACAAATTAGTGAAAGGCAGACTATGAATTTAAGTCATGGTAAGAATCAATATCCTCTGGACCTGTTCTTACTAAACTTACTGATTTCTTCCTAAAACCACACAAAGTCTTTGACATCAGACGTGTCCTAAAAGAGAAGAGATGCGTACATTAGCCTTGCTATAATTAAGTGTCTGGTGCAGATGTGGTAATAGCATGTATATAGTTAAAAGGTATCTAAAAAGCTGCATAGATAGCAGTTGCTGAACAGATTAAATTTGCTCTAAATTAGGAGAAATGAAAAAGAAATTAGGAAAGAGAATACTTAAAGTGGAAAAATGCCTAGAATTTTTGAGACAAAACTATTAGAATTGGTTTTCAGAGGTTCCAAATTTCAGGGGTTCCAGTCGCTTGTCATGTAGCTCAGACTTTAACATCGTAAACATCAAACTGTCTGTTTTCCTCCTTCATTCATCTTAACTTCCCTTCTTCCCACTCAGCTGTCTTTCAACTGTTTTTGTCCCAGTTTTTCCCCCTTACGCATCTGTCTTAAATTATACCCTCTTGCTGGACTGTGCAAGTAAATGATATCAGGAGAGAAAGAGAGCAGATTAACAAAAAGCCAGTGGAGAGAAAGGGGCAGAAGACCTTGTGTGCAGCAGACCACGTTCTCCTGCACAGCCTGCACTAGGATCCTTGGCTCTTGCTTTTGCCTGCTCCATGACCTGCTCCATGAGGTGTCTGTGCTGGAAAACTGCACAACTCATTCCCTCCACTACTGCTTTACCTAGAGGATGGCATAATTTTCACGGAGTTTGGTTTGATTTTTTAATTTTATTTTTATCCCCCCACCCCGCCTTTGCTCTTAGAAAAAAGGAACAAGGAGAACTATATCCAGATATCTGTGCCAAAATAATAACTTAAGGTTGCAAAATCAAGCTCTGCAGAATTACTTATGCTTGCACTAAGATTCTGCCCTATTCTTATTTTATCTTCAATCTGTGTTTGTATTATAATAAATTTTAATGCATAGACACAAAAGGGCTGTATTAGTATTGTGCAAACACTCTCAGTTCTGATATTTCAAATGTTTAGCATGCTTTGGCTTTCCAGTATTAAGAATAAGCTTTTATCACAGCTGCTTACAGTCACTCTTAATACACGTATGCTCTGATAACTCCTGTAAGCTACCTATCCATTGGCAATAGGGATGGAGGAAAGAAAGAGGTGTAGACTCTGTAGATGGATATATTATTAAGTTATAGTAAAGCTAGTGCTATCACAAACCCAGCCTTGCTCTGTCCCTATGCTGTCTGTGCCCATGATAATTCATTTCTCTTCAGATGAAGAGCAAGGCTGATTCTGCATCAAAGATCTCTTCCTCTGCCCACAGCATGTATTTGTCTACAAAACCATTTCAACCAAGTGACTTGTTAGCTCAAGGAAAGACAGTAAATTACTACATTGATGCACACCTTAACAAAACTTGGGCCAGGTTTAAAATAAGGCATTATTTGAAGAAAACATTTGAAATTTACAGATTCTGATACTCTTGCTTTTTATGTGAAACTCTTTTGTGATCATTTCACAACAAAGTGTTAAAAAAATCATGCTAACATGATAATTTCATCCAAAATTAGCATTTCACACAAAGCTGTCAGAGTTTACATCTGAAGGAAACAAACTGTGAGACAGTTTAACCATTCAGCATCCATGTCATAACAACTAATACCTGAATAAGAGGTCAAGCATTTGATTATATTATAAATGACATATTTCCAGCTAACCCATCTGTCTCAGCCACAGGCTTTTTAAAACAAGCTACACTTTACAGAAGGAGCTTTCTGACAGCCTCAACAGCAGCTAGTCAGCCATCAAAGCTTACCTCCCAAGCTTTTTCATATCATTACCAAGCCAGTGCTGTGAGAACAGTATGAGATGGCAAAATCACACACACAAAAAGTTTTCCACATAGTCTGTTCCTGCTGTTCTACAAGAGTCATAAAACTAGCAACAGTGAACATCTGCTAGTGGTTCACAAAACCTGCTCCTCCGTATTCACTGTAATTTAACCAGTGAAAGCCTATAAAATGGATAGCATAAATTGCTTTCAGAAGACTATTAGATGCAGCTGCTTTTGCCATTTTAAGAAAGTTAGTGGGGCAGTAGAATCCTTCCCAGTTTGCACTAGGAAGAAACAGATGATTTTAAGGAGGGTCATGGATTACCAAAACGTGGGGCAAATTATCAATTCTGCCTACTTCTGAAAGGCATGTAGATGAGGAAAAACACATACTTTATATCTGCTAATGCATATGAAATGAAAATAGAAAAAAAAATCGGAGATCTTGCTGAACAAAAACAGTAACACATCACTTCTTACATTAGAATGAGCTGGTAAACTTTATGGTGTGTGTAACTTCAGCCAGAACACAAACACCTTCATGTTTCCATGGCTCGTCAATAAATGAGTTGCAGAAGCATATTGTCTGGCAAAACAAAATATCAGCCTTTCATCCAAACAAGTATGTGCCTTAAGCTGATCCTGAAGGCAAAGAGACTTAAGTTTTGGTCTCTAAAGTGGAGAGTGAGTTCTGAAGAGGAAGGTCCCCTGCAGAAAAGGCACCTTGTGGACTTCATTCTTCTGACTCCAAAGGCAAAGTATGTTAGTCCACCATTAACAGGGTAAGCAGGAGAAAATAAAAGATTCTTTCACCAAGATAACTTAGGTCCAGTCTGAGACTTCCCTATAATCAACATTATTTTCAATCATGATATAAGTTGAATTAGAAACAAGCTCATAAACTTGCACTACGTCCTAAACTGTGAGGTTTTTCAGTTTATGGAGACCTTCAACAGTATTATCAATGTTTTAACAATAATAAGAAAAAATGGCCCTTTGTCCCATCTACTGAGACTACCTGTAAATGAGTTGAACATCATACAACCACAAACTAGCTGCTGCAAGAACACAAATTTGCAACTGCTCCCTCCCATAACAGTACACAAGGATAATGTAACCCATGTCCTAGCTAACCAAGTTGTCCAATGAGATACCCATTTGACAGCTATCTAGCAAATAAGTGAGTAAATACTGTGCCCAGATGGTTAAATTTAGGTTATCTTTGGCCAGTGGCATTCACATGAAAACTCAAGAGTGGGGATAGCATAACTGGAAATTGTTGAGGAAGAAATGGCTTTTAAGGAAAGATATGGAGGAAGCTAAAGGAGGTTATGTGACTCAAAAGAAATAGATAATTTCCAGCATGCAGGGTGGCATTAAAGGGTAATAATATGGGTATGAGTATGAAAGTATGAAAGGAGTAAGACATCATACTTGCAAAACTGCTACTAAGTGACAAGGGATGCAAAAAGAGTGCCTAGGAAGAGTCTCTAAAAGAGGGGAATGGAGAGACAATGCCATGAGAGAAGACATAAGAGAAGTTGGATGTCAGGTAAAACCTTGAAGGTGAGGATGATGAGATAGATGAGATGCAGACTTAAAGGGTTTGTGTGACCGTAAGCAATGCTGCAGGGGCAAAGAAGCAGCAAGTACTCTGTGTTAGAGAAGCACAGGATGGTGGTTGTCACCAGCACAGGCGGGAGAAGTCCCAGAGATGAAAGTGGACATCTGCATTGTCTAGTCTCTCAAACAGTAGGGGTATAAAGGTGAAGCAAGGGATAGGTTTCTGATAGCATTAATAGATGGCAATAGGTAAATCCTGTTTCCTATATCAAAAACCTATTTATCTATGCTTACAGTGAGGACAAGAAAGCATGTCAGAATTTGGAGTCATCCATAACCTTGTATCTCATGCTATTTGGACTACTTGTAGCACATCCCCCAAGTCATAAGCTGGAAGACAAATGGTCATTGCCACAACAGCCCAGCACCATCCCACTGTGTTGCCTACTATCTCCCAAGCTAGCCATAATAAACTAATGTAAGTCCATAAGTCTTTATGCTAAAATGTCTCCCAGCTTCTGGAATGCTGATAGGTAAACAGGTAGACATAATGAATGAGACACTGCACAACCAGTTTACCCATGCAATATCCATTGAGAGGTGCTTTGTGTACAGTGGGATGGCAGAATGCAATGTATATTCTGATAAGGTTTTAAGATTTTGCCCTTCCCGTGTTGAACTAGAAACATATCTTTAGTGACATCATGTGCACAGTATCAGTATTAATTGACAATATTTCAG